TACATAATCTACAAACAATAGGATCCCAAATTGTTCCTTTCTAAACCAACTAATTTTTCCTCACATGTTGCTTGTAAGAAAAGCAATGACTTATTCTTCTCTCAACATATTTCTTTTTAAAGAACCAGAATGGGAATACCAGCATCATACCGTGGAAATAAATATATCTATAAAGTAAAGGACTCAACTGTGCAACTAAACAACAGCAACATAAAGTACAAACAATACTCAGGCCACACTAGATCTGTTCGTTCATTATTTGCATTCTGTAATTAGGCAAGAGTTGTATAAATAATATATGTTATGTAAATTCATGATTGCCAGTAAGCAATACATTTAGTGGATGGAAATGCTTATTTGTTATGTCCATGTATAAGATCCATTAATTAAACTGAATTTTTGATATTTTCAATTAAAATTACTCATGAAAATGTTAGCATGTAAAACACACAAATAGTATTTAACTATGAATATAATAATGGAGGGTTGCTAATATTTCAAGGAAATTTGCTGTTGAGTTTATTAGGTAAGAGTTAACAGACTTCAATACAGAATCCTTTCCTTGGCAGCTGCTAGTTCAAAAGACCCAAGTACTATAGCCTAGTGTTTTGCTAGTATATACTAAGAGAACCTAATAAAAATTCCATCCTTTTATCATACTTAAATATAATCCCTGCTTGTTTTCCCTAATAAACCTTTAAACTACCCAGAAAGACAGGCTTGGGTTTAAAATCTTTCATCATTCATTTCATCAAACACTGAAATGGTTTGATTCCTGTTTATCACTGGTTATGGTTTTAGAAACAATGGTGTTATGATGCTTGCCAACTCTCCGAAAGGGAGGGTGGAGCAGGAAGTGCTCTTTTTATGTGCAGCTGCATGAGCGGTTGCAGAGTCAAAACTGCCCACGACAAAAGAAACAAGATCCATCTGTTCCATGCAGGGCTTGCACTTAGCAGTTCGTGTCAGGTATGAATCCCAACTCTGCCATGGAAGCTTGATCAGTGACCTACCACATGGTTAGTGCAATATGAAGACTGAGGAGAACCCGTGGGGGTAAAAGTGTAATATCCCTATCTCTCCTTATATATAATTGAGTAAGAACATTCTATATGAACATTCTAAAATGCCCGCCTTTAGTGTTAGGCCGGAAGAACTGCCACTCAGAAGACGCTGGCTGGGTTGACTGGTTGCTTTGTGCAGTCCCGCCCAGCGTTTCAAGGTCTTTTGCATATGGAAGCTGATTGGACTTCACTGCATTCCACACCTCAAACTCACCCCCCTCCCCGCAAGGCAGTTGGAATGTCAGTTGCATATGGAACCTTCAAGGTCTTTTGCATATGGAAGCTGATTGGACTTCACTCCATTCTACATCTCATACTCC